TTGTGCCAGACGAATACAATAGGATCGCCACGTCATACTGGTAAACTCAATCCCTGACTCGGATCTTATCCATCATCGATAATTTCTTCATCATTTTGTTAACAATATTTAATAATTTAATTTGGCCGACGTCTTCAATCGTCACTGGCTCATTGTCAAAAAGTACGACGGGGATACCCGATCCAGCCAGTTTCGGGACGAGTTAGCCAGTGGTGAAGACAAGGACGGGCTTCGAATCGGCCATCTGTAACACGATTTCACGAGGTGTATTGAGGGTGTTGCCATGGAGATTGTTTCCTTTGTTTGAGCAGTTTCTTCACTTGCTGAAACTCCATTAACTAGAACCAAGAACTTGTGGGAAGATGCCGAGAACATTGAACAAACTGACACCAAAAATACCAGTTCCGAACATTTGAAATAAAAGATTAGAGCTGTTGGAAATGACAAAGCAATACCTTTTATTTAATTGATTTCCAGCTTTTGGTGGATACAAAAGCTAGCTGGTTGAAAGTGAAAGTTGAAAGCAATGTATTCCAACCTTATCTGCAATACCATTATCCTTACTTAAAAAATTATATCTCTTATTGAGTGGCCCTCAATTTGTTTCATAACATAATAGTATGATAACACACTCATTTGCAAATCAACTTTATATCATTACACATATTTTAAATTGAAAGAAAACTAACCCCATTTTGGGGTGTGACAGATACAGTTCTTCCTTCAAGAGATAGCTCCAAGATTTTTATATATGATTCTTATATATATTTTGCAGGTATTGTCTCCTATTTTTATATAAATTAAAAATATACATGGGTAAATGGCAAATTAGATCCTGAAATTTTAGTTTATTTTAACTTATCCCTCATTTTTATGGTTAATTATATTTATTCCCTAACTTTTATGGTCAATTATACTTTATCTCTTGAACTAATATCATGGTGCAACGAGAAAATTCAGTATCAATTTTTTAAATATTTTCATACAATTAATTAATTGATATTAGAATAAATAATTTTTTAAAATTTTAAATTTTAAATCTAATAACTTATTTAAATTTTTGGAGCAACTTATTACTATTTTTGCTTAAATTCTTTTTCCAAAAGAGATCCGTTCTAATGTGAAAATGTTCTTTTCCGATGGCTCTGAGCATGATTGCACCTTAATCTATTGCCCTGATCATAATTTCTCTCAACTAAATGTGTTTGTAAATATTCTAGCAAAGTAAACGTGGCAAAGTCTATGACATTGCCTTTATCTTAGAGTAGGACTCCATCATCTGTATTTTTTTCCCTAATAGAAGAATTCACTGAGTATGTAGTACCTAAAATCACATTACACATAACATATTAATACTTTTTAATAAATTATTTTTATTATCGACTTGTCAACATTTCATATACGCACATAAAAAATAATTTTAAAATATTTTTTAGTATAATAATGTATTAAATAAGAAATTAATCATATATTTAAATAAATATTTACCCTTTTTAACTTTTTTCCATACGTATGTAGATCATGAACTCGAACTTGAAAAGAAAAATCTTGCAACTGAGATGAAAAATATAAAGAAGTTACTCAATCAAAAAATACAAAAATACAAAAATAAATAAAAAAATCAAAATAAATATATTAAGAAATAGGTAGAAATAAAAAAACCTCCTCCAATAAGATACATGATATATTCGTGCATCTACCACTATTAAATAATAAGAATGATCTTTATTTATAAACTAGGATCTCTTACATCCAATGGTTGACATACTATAAAATGAAAAACTAAGATTTGAAAAGGTGGAATAATGTTCTCTATGTTGTGTCCATTCTAAAGCATTCTAGATTAATCTACCTGTAATACCCTAAAATTTTTTATTAATGACCACTTATAAATCGCCACTAATTTTCAAGTGCAGACAATACATTTATTCTTCTTTCAATACATTCATTATTGCACATCATAAGCTAGTACAAGATGACTTAGAAAAAAATTCTATTAATATATAGCTTAAGTTAGTCTGTGTATTCCATGTATACTGAAATCTGAATTTTTTTACATTAATTGTTTATTTTGCTGATGAAGTCTACCCTGAAACTTTATTTATGTTTATCAAAACAAAAAAATCTATTATTAATGCATATGTGCCCCTAAAAAATATTTCTGATCCGCTACTTCCTCCAACAAATATTTTCCAGTTTTCTCTAAGCAATGCATTTTTATTATAATTGATAAAAAGGATGTACATCTCAAAAGGACAAGATCCAAGAATGGGAACAAACAGAGTTCGCCAAGAATGTGCTTAACAAATACACAGCCATCCTGTTCTGAAACAGAACTACATACCTACAGAACTACACCATGCTATAAACATTGGTCACCACTCACCTCAATGATCAACAACCAACATATAGACATTTCACTGTTCACCTCCTCTAGTAATTACAATCCCTAGATTTCGTGTCTTCTTGATCAGCTTACTCAATTGGAATATCGGGTGCCTACATAGTCGCCCTTGTGTTTAATACGAGTAAGTTACAAAGCATGAATGTTTGATGTTTGAAGCATGCTGATTTATTATTTCTGTTATTGTGATATGCATGATGATTGTTTAAATTTTAACTCGTTTCCACTTAGTATGCATGATTAGGATCCATTTTATCCAATTCGCTTCAGAATCTAATGTACATTCAGAATACTCGAGTTATTCGATGTGATTGGGTATAAGGTGTTACACAAAGCATGCATAAACCCTTAAAACACTCAACATGGCCATTCAAAAAACAAACAATCATAATTAGGAAACAAAATTAGGAATTCAAAGTTTAATGCTTAGAATCCGAAATTAAGTTCTTTTCTCAACTTCCATCAAGTTTCTTCTTCCCCTTAGCACTTGAAGGCTCCCCAATCTTTTTGCACTTCATAAAAAAAGAGTGGAAAATATTATTAACATATATAGGGCTTGAAAGAAGTCTAGGAATTTATTTAAGATGTCAGATTCAATCTAAAATATGTTGAGATAGCTCAAGGTCTTTTTAGCCACCTTCTTCCCATGGAGGTTTTAAGCTCAAATTCAAGCTCTAGAGGTATAGATTGAAACCATTACGTTTACTAAACTCGGAGGAATTCACTGCACAATAAAGATGATTCCTCTAGTGGTTTCAACAAGCTTGGAGAAGAAGAGATAATGAAATGAAGGGGGGAAAGATGAAACAAAACAACTTTTACGCACGTGACATAGGTTAGAACAAACGAATTTTAACATTTCAAATCATTAAGGGTCTACTTACACTATTGGTCCTTTTTTATTCTCTCTTAATACAAAAATTCGTTTCTTATGACTACTTGAGCTCAATTAACATCCGATTAGGCGCACATTTATCCTGATGATTCTAATTGTATTTTCACATCGACACGTAGACCTCTCAAGTTAACTCTTACGTGTTGAATCGAAAATCCAAACGTTGCACTAAGATTGAAATTAATAAACAATGCAACCTTAAGTACGAAAACAAGAGTTGTGTGCCTAAGTCGACCTTCAACCTAAAGGGTACAACAAATCGAATGGGTGAAAACAAAATAATAGAAAACTTAAGATGAGTAGATGAAAAATGAGATTTTAGTTTAATGCTCTATTTATCTTATTTGTTTATTAAACTAATCATGACAATTGAAGTCGGGAGAGCCTATAAATAAAGGTTAATTTTTCATTTTAATCTATACAATAACAAGAAAATTTTATCTCATTTCTTTTAATCTCTTACAAAATTCCTTCCTTTTTTTTTTTTTTGGAGCATTATTTTTGGATAGCCGAATTATAATCCCGAAAAATTATTTCCAACCTCGATACTCATCTTTCCGAAAAGAGAACTACAATTTTCACTTTAATATTTGGGTGTATGAATATTGAAGCGTTAGTTTCAATAATTATACCAATCAAAGCGAATTTACTTTTAAGACTGTAATCCTTTCAAAGTACATCTATAATTTAATCTATTTCGTTTAAATTATTTTTCTCAATCAATACTAATATTTTATTTTACAGCGATCTATTTTTTCAACATCATATACTGATAATTATGTCACTTGAATGTCAAAATAATATTTTGAATATGATGTCTGTTTAGCAGATTTCTGTAAGCATCTTGAAATGTTATCCTGGACTTTTCTTTTAATAAATATAATTTATTATTGCTGAGAATAAAAAAATGAAAATAATATTATTGGATATGATGTCAGTTTGTCATATTCCTGTAAGCATCTTCAAATGGTATCTTGGACTATAATGATAAAGTACACGAATGGTCCTTCGACTATAGTGTGCTTTTTTATTGAGTCCTTCGAATATTGAAAGTTATAAAATGGTCCTCCGACTATAGGGTGTCGCTTTGTTGAGTCCCTCGGCTATTAAAATTTACAAAATAGTCATCTGACTATTCATATGTTCCAAACTCGTCCTTTTCCGTTAAAAATTGATGGAAATTTTAGCTGGACGTTAACCTGCTGACTGAGATATTTTAAAATATGATATCAGAATCTTAAGCAATTATCATATCTCAGTCGGCATGTTAACGTCCAACTCAGATGATGTCAATTTTTTATCGAAAAATGACGAGTTTAGAACATATGAATAGACGGGTGACTATTTTGTTACTTTTAATAGTCAGTCAAAGAACTATTTTATAACTTTTAATAGTCGGGAGACTCAACAAAGCAACACCTTATGGTTAGGGGATCAATCATTTGTGTATTTTACCCTTTTAATAAATAAACTTTATCATTGCTGAGAATAAAAAAATGAAAATAATATTATCAGGTATGACGTCTGTTTGGCAGATTCCTGTTAGCATCTTCAAATGGTATCTTGGACTTTTATTTCAATAAATAAAATTTATTATTGCTGCGAAAAAAATATTATCTTTTTCAAAAAAAAAAAAATCATATGCCATAAACTTTTGTTTATCTATGTATAAAACGATAGATCCAATGCCTGCTCTTCCTACAAATATATTGTGTACATACTGTCCACCACATTACATCTGCCTAGTTATCCCTCTATCCCCAACCATGACTCTCATCTCAAGTTCTCTCCATTTTAACAACTCTTACTCAAAAATATGGTCATGGTTCAGCAAGGAAACCCTCCGAACTGATGATTTCGCGAGCCTATTTTTCGCTGTTGTTGGTGTTTTTGTAATTTTCCGGTATTCAATGATGTTCATCAAGTCCAAGAACGCAAAGCCACAATCACCACCGGGACCTCGAGGCCTCCCTATAGTGGGAAACCTTCCTTTCCTTGAACAAGACCTTCACACTTACTTCACCAAACTAGCTTGTACCTACGGAGCGGTTGTGAAACTCCAACTCGGAAGCAAGATCGGTATCGTGGTCTCCTCCCCATCGACGGCCCGAGAAGTACTTAAAGACCAAGACATCACATTCGCCAACCGGGTTGTGCCAGTGGTTGGCCTGTTAGCAAATGGGGGTCATAACATAGTTTCCAGCCCCTACGGCCCTCAATGGAGGATGTTAAGAAAGGTATGTGTACTCAAAATGCTTAGCAATGCTACTTTGGACAAGATGTATTCGCTTCGCCGAAGAGAAACACGAAAAACCGTGGATTATTTATATGCTAACGCTGGAGCGCCAGTAAATCTCGGTGAGCAAGTGTTTCTAACGATATTTAATGTGGTGACCAATATGATATGGGGAAGCACGGTTGAGGGGGAAGCCGGGGCCAACATCGGTGCAGAGTTCAAGCAAGTGATGTCAGTAATAACAGAGATTTTGGGCCTGCCTAATATTTCGGATTTTTTCCCAGTCCTTGCCCCTCTTGATTTGCAAGGTCGATGGAAACGTATGTCGAAACCAATGGAGAAGTTGAATGGAATAATTGATAATATGATTGATCAACGGCTGAATGTGGTGAAGGAAAGTGGGGACTTTTTGCAGTTTCTCTTACAGTTGAAGAATGATAATGATCCCAAGACACCTCTCACCATGGATAATATCAAAGCTTTGATCATTGTGAGCTTTTGACCCTTTTTTTTTGTATTAAGTAAGCTTAAACTGTGTTTTAATAAGAGTCATTTACGAATTCAATTTCATGTTTCCTTTTTTATATTCGGCAAGGATATGATAGTAGGAGGAACGGATACATCCTCCAGTTCAATTGAGTTCACATTGGCTGAAGTCATCAACAATCCACAAGTAATGAGAAAAGCACAGAAAGAACTAGATGAAGTAGTTGGCAAAGACAACATTGTGGAAGAATCTCACATTTATAAATTACCCTACGTGCTTGCAATTATGAAAGAGTCGTTGCGTTTGCATCCGGTTCTTCCTCTCCTAGTCCCCCACAGCCCCGCCGAGGCCTGCACCCTCAGCGGCTACGCTATCCCGAAAGGTTGTCGGGTGTTCATCAATGCCTGGGGAATTCATAGGGATCCTTGCATATGGGAAAATCCTTTGGTGTTCAACCCCGACCGGTTTCTGAATAGCCAATGGGATTTCAATGGGAATGACTTCAGTTATTTTCCTTTCGGGTCCGGCAGAAGAATGTGTGCTGGGACAGCAATGGCTGAACGGATGGTGTTGTACTCCATTGCCACACTTTTGCATTCTTTTGATTGGAAGGTGCCGGAGGAGGATGACAAGTTAGATCTTTCGGAGAGGTTTGGGATTGTCCTCAAGTTGAAGAATCCACTCATTGCAGTTCCAGTACCAAGGTTATCAAACCCAGCTCTCTACCAATTTTAGATGGATTGGTATGGTACTAATGAAAAGTGAATGTTATGTTTGGATTTCAATGTTTTTACTGTGTGCTATTATTTAATAATACTATCGGCGATATTAAATATATGGTCTATTGTTTGACTGGAAACCTCGTTAGAGTCCGAGCAAGGAGTGGAGGACCACACCTTGCACTCTCCATTTTTTAATATGAATTATTCTTGCTTAATATAATAATAGTGTGAAGGCATACATGACAATTAATGAAAACAAGAAGAACCAAAATCAAACATATTACAATTTAATAATATTAAAGTTGTCCCCTTTTTTGTTGAGGAGGCAGAATTTAGGTTTTGATATATAGCTCTAATTTTATGACAACTCAACGGTTATTGATGGGATTAAATGAGTTATAACGTTCGTAAACGATTAATTATTTTTTATTTGAACGGAGAATCACAATTGATAATAAATCGATCGTGTTGAAGTGGTTTATCTACATAAGGAGGTAGGAAGAAAATGATTAAGAGTGAGATGCTTTCATATGAGTTTCAACAATTCTCTAGGTATTGTTCGAGAGGTTTTATAGTATTGACCCTTAGAGGTAGAGCTAAGCACGTAATGACTGCTTGTAGGCTAGCAACATAGGTGGATATGGTCAGCTAATGATATATTTAGGTCAAGCAGGTCATGTGGGTCTATTATAGATCATATCAACAAGTCATGACTTCTATATAGATGTTAGATATTCGAGATCCTTCTATTAGAGATGTTCTCTTTGTAGGAAAAAAATCAATATTTTTGAAGCTTTAAATGAGAAGTTGAACCAAACGTTGTTGAGGAAAATGTGGAACCAATTGCTAGTTTGTAAATGTACAGATGTGTACGACATGGGTTGTAATACCCCAAAAATATGGTTAGTGACCAAAATGAATAAATTGAAAGTTTAAAGGCTAAAGTATAAACTTGAGAAAGTTTAGGGACCAATGTGTAATTTTGAAAAATTGTGTAACATGGTCCCATAAATGAATAGTTTACCCCCCAAGAATGACGTTTTCATGGGTTTCAGATTTTTTGTACGGAGTTTGTGTTAAAAGCTATAAAGTGTGAAAGTTTAAGAAAATAGTTCGGATAATCGGATCGAATCGAGAGTTTAGGAAATTTTGCTAGATGATAAGTAAGGGCACAAATGTCTTTTCCATGCTATAAAATGATAAGATTTAATACAGACTATTGGATTTAAGTTGATTTTCATGTTAAATCTTAGCCATTAAATTAAAAAGGACAAGATTGTAATTTTGAAACTTTTCAAGGGTAAAGTTGTAAACTACTAACTTCAAGGTTTAATTTCAACCCATGAATGATAAATTTGATATGTGGCATGATTAGAATCATTGGATTTTAAGGTCATAATAGTCATTTTGGACTAAAATGAATTTTAAATTCATTTACGTTATAAAATTCATTTAGGGTAAAGTTGTAAACTACTTTCTTGAATTGGTTTGTTGTTGCCTTGAGTTACAACAAAAGAAAGGTACGTTTTTAAATTGATTTTTTAAGCATTTTAAATTATATCTAAGGTTAAGACATGAAATCCAATTTTGTTCTTTATTGAATTCTCTTTCATTTAGTCCTTATGAAATTTTGAAAAGAGTCGGTCCAGTGGCATATCAACTAGAATTACCGCCGGAAATGAGTAAGATCCATGACGTGTTTTATAACATCCCAATCATTTGGTCAGTAACCATAATGTAAGAATTTTAAACTCAGTTGTTGAATTATAATATTTTGAGAAATTCAAGGATTTATGGTGGAATTTTTGTGTAGGGCTTGATAGCAATTTTGGATTAGTGGAAAGGGTATTATGATCTTTTTTAAAGGATAATTATCTCCTTTATTAAGGGATAAGCACGTGGATAAGGGGAAAAGTCTGGAATTAATTCTTACTCTCTTCTTCGTGCCGTGAACTCCACTACCAAAGGTAAGTTTTTGTAAATTTGTTGGTTCCTTCAATTTATGGTTTGGTATTGAAAGCTTGAGTGTTATATAAGCTTAAGGAAAGCTTGTATAGGATTAAAACAACAAGAGGAGTGAATTAGAAATGGATTTGTAAAATGGGTTTTAAAATGAATTTTTGATATGGTGTAGTTTCTGGAGTTTTAGTGATGATTTTGACTTGTCAATGATCAAACTAAAGAGTTAGGAGTAATAGAAATGATTAAGAACTTGGTTGAAATCATGATATGATTTTTTAGATGTAAGAGTTTTAGTGAGATTTTGTATGTTTAAGAGTAGTAAATGAAGACAAGTTGGTTTGGATGTATAACGTTGAGTTTAAAGGCTTAATGAGGGATTAAAGTAAGAGATTTAGGAAGATTTTGGCTTGATTTTCGAAATGGACATAACAATTTTGGGCATGGATCATCGGTACTAGAAGAACAGTATCGATACTTCAAGGCAAAATCAGTGAAATTTGAAGGGTAGTATTGATACTGGTTGAGGAAAGTATTGATACTGAGTTGGGAGTATCGATACCAAGGGTATAGTATCGATACCATTTTCAAGATAAGTTTACAGAATGCAAAAATGGTATCGGTACCGTGGGGGGTATCGATAACATTGAAGGGAAGTATCGGTACTATAATGGGAGTACCGATACTATTGAACATGAAATGGGAAATTAAGTATTTCTTTCAGTTTAAGTTGTTATGATTGGATATAAGTGATCTGAATTCCGGTATTTATTTTCGATTGTTTAATGTAGACATTGAACAAAGTCAACTTCCGGTCAACTCGACATTATAAGTATCGGTCCAAAAGTGTTAAGGTTTCGTTTAGGACTTCAATGAGTGCAATTTCTTTGTTTTGTATTAGAATTGAGGAAGGCTTGCGTTAAGCCAACCTCAGTGTTTTCGATTGAAAGCTTTCAAATTTCTTTTATGTTATATTTTATAATGTTTTATTCAAATTATATTATGTAAGTTATGTGTTATGATTATGTGGATATGATTATGGAAATATGACCTTTGAATATGTGTATTCGAAAAGAACCAACGTGAAAGTTCATATGAATAAGAAATGCTTTGATTAATGAATGATAATTAATTATGTGGTTAAAAGCCCAAGGTATATGTATGAGGATTAGAGGTATAGTTGGCATGCCAAGAGTCAAGGGTTTTATGTGGTACTTCGGGATAATTATGTGGCATTTCGGTGCAAATTACGAGCTGTGGTGATAACATTAGTGCACAACCTCAATGTACTCAAATACCTAGAGTTATCAATAGTATATGGTGGGCATTTGGAAACAAAGTCATGCAAAATGAATAATATATATAAGTATATCTTTTGGATATGGAAAATAATTTGGAATTCTTTATGAAATGTTTTGCTAAAATATATAAAGATTTCATCTATAAAGTTTAGTACTCTTTAGTTTTGCCTCACCAAGTCATCGACTTAGCGTGTAATTTCCTCACGCGTAGGTTTGAATAAATCTGAAGGTTGATTTGTTGAGGATAGCATACTCCAGTGAAGATCATATCAAGACAAATTAAATGTAGGTTTTTTTGGTTAATTTTGTAAACTGTTGGCATGTACTACACGTTTAATTTGAAATCTATGTTTTGTAAACTCATACTTTTGTGTTTATATAAATTATTGAAATTTTGATGTAAATATAAATGTAAATTTTAGTATCTTCTTTTAAATTAAGGGTTTCTACCTTTTATTTATGAGTAGAAAATTTAAATTATCCTTATTTGTTAATTATCTATGATTTGAAAAGTCAATGTGACACTTCAGATTTATATCCGGATCGGGTACGGGTTAGGGGTGTTACATTTTATGGTATCAGAGCTATGGTTTAATTGATTTTAAGTTCAAAATAAAGTCATTTTTTATTTAAAAAGGGTACATGCCAACTTTTAATTAAGTCTTTCTGATCTGATAAGGTGATTAGTACGCTATTCTTGTTAATATATTAGTGAATTGATCTTATTAGATGTCGGATTTTGAGAGCACCCAAAGTGAAGCGGGAGATAGAATGGTAGAAAGTCGTAACTCACCTACCCCAGGCAGGCAGGGTGAGGAACATGCACATTAGGGAGTGCCTGTGCAAGATCAGGGGACCTTCTTCCAGACGTTAGATGCGATTATGACGTGTTTCCAACCGTTTGCTTCCTCAGCCCTTAAGATGAATGTTCCTAAGGAGCTGAGAAGCCTAGGAGCGCCTGAATTTAGAGGAGAAGCTTAGGAAGGTCCAATTGCTGCTGATATGTGGCTCAATGACCTTAAGATAATGCTAGAGAATCTTCATTGTTCTGAAATAGAGAAATTGGATGGTGTAGTTTCGTTATTGCGAGGTCAAACTAGAATTTGGTGGTCTAATGTGACGATGATAGCTGCAAGGGACCAAGTGACATGGTTGTTTTTCTTGGAAGAATTTAAGAACAAATACATTGGGGATCAGTTTATCAAGAATTCATGAGCTTAAAGTAAGGGAATCGCACGTATATGAGTTTGAGTGCGAACTCAACAAGCTGAGTAGATTTACAGCGGAATTGGTCCCTACGGAGAAGAACTCATGTGATTGGTTTGTGGAGAGGGTTTACGACCTCGATTGAAAAAACTATTGTTGGCTCTCAATTTCTCTTTATTCCAAGAGGTAATGAACAGAGCTAAAGCTCTGGAGAGCTCAAAACGAGAGGTTTATGGAACAAAGAATGCAATGGAATAAGAGAGTTGTTGCATCGTCCAGTGCCTCCCAATCAAAGAAAAGTCGAGGTTTGAGTTCTCGACCTCAGACTAGAGCAGAATCCGCAATATTCTCAGGTAGAGGATCAAATCCAGGAATAGCCAGACAAACTCACTCAGTGGAGTCCGGAGTGGATAAGTCAAATCAATGTCAGCACTGTGGGAAACATCATAGTGGTGTATGCCGAAAAGTCTCCGGAGCTTGTTTTAAATGCGGAAAGGCATGACATTTTATTAGAGATTGTCCATTGATGATGGGAGAACCTGCTCAAACAGAAAGATCCACTGTTGCACCTATGAGAGGAAGAGGTCGAGGTAGAGGAAGGAATCAATCTGAGTCAACCACTCAACATGAAGTGTGTTCCACTGCTCGAGTGCACAATCTAAAGACCAGTGAAGATTGTGATGATCCTGAAATCATTGCAGATACTTTTCAGATAGCTGGTGAATCTAATTTAGTTTTGATTGATCCGGGATCGAATTATTCTTATGTTAGTAGTAAGTTGGTGCAAGACTTGAGAATTTCGTTAGAACCTATTCGTAGCGAGGTGACTGTGACTAATCAATTAGGACATAGTGCTCGGGTGAGACAAATATGTCGAGGGTGTCCCATATGAATTCAGGGAATTGAATTCCCTGCTTATCTAATGGAATTACCCTTTGACGAGTTTGAGGTTATACTAGGAATGGATTGGCTTTATCATTATCATGCCAACGTGGATTGTCGACTTAAGCGAATTATTAAAAATTTCACGTTATTTGAGTTAGATTACTTATACCCAGAGGAATGTTGTTTAAGATCTTGCATTTAATATTAGTAACATTGATATTTTTTTCAATTTTTTCACATATTTAAAAGACATTATGTTTATACAAACAACTAATTTATCTAGTGAAATAAGATATTAGATCCCTTAAATAATGACAGGGATTTAAATCCTGACTTAATGAATGAATAAAATTAGATTGAAAGGATTACAATTATAATGGACCTCTATATGTACCGTTGTCCATTCACGTGCAACACGAGTAGGGGCGTCGCTAAATCTTGACAAGAGGTGCACCTGCCTACGGCTCCCAATTAAAAAATTTATAATTTAGTTAATTAATTTTTTATCGCAAATTTTATTATGTTTTTAAAAAAAATTAAGAAAAATATTGAATGATAGTTATTTTATATATTGAGAAAAAAATTAAATTATATGTATGTAGACGTTATTACTTATTACTAGAAAATTTGCATTTAAACATGTTCATAAAAAATATTTTGTGCGAGTAAATAGAGTTTAATAAAATTTTGTATTTAAATTATTTTTTAGATGATTGGATATATATATATATATATATATATATATATATATATATATATATATATATATATTAAAAAAAACCAAATGTACCTTATCCTTTTTAGGGGAAACAAAGAGTATTCAAATTAGGATGAAATTTATCATTTATAAACTATGGAACATAATGAATCACACTGCCACAATTACCCCAAGTTATAACACATGCCATAAAACCGGTTTCTCTGACTTTGGGAGATTACTTTTAATATAGCTGACTTGATGGCAGGGAAGTATCATATTCATGCTTGCCTATTGGTTGATTTAATATGCACCAATTATGTATATAATCTTAACTTCCACACACTTAATGATAGGACTAAAAGTTCAAATATCATTAGTTACAAATAAAATATACATGGAACCACTGCTTTCATTCGGTGCTTATATGTAGTAGAGGCCTGGAATCAAACATTTTCAGATACACATATTTGTGATCAATTAGTAACTAAGAATTTACAACAATACCAAACCAAAACTGAAGTGAGGTAGCTCCCATTGCGAAAAATCCCAGATTATCTCATAGTTTCCATCTTCTGATCCCATGATTCTTGCACAAAACCTAATTGAATCTCACATTTACCGCACAGCTAAGTCTTTCAAAGGAATTGATAACATAATCACTAGTCTTCTCAATTCTTCAGTATAACGAAATCTAAATATACGAAAGAAACAACATAGTTTGCCCCAAGGCTCTAGGACTATATTTCCATCCTACCTGATATAGCCCAATCACTTCTTAAATGTGATTAATTCCAATACGATGCACTTTACAATGATAATAGATGGAGACAGTTTGGTAGTTAAGCACAAGAACAAAATCAATGAATTAGAATCATGAACAGAAGCATCGGCAAGTATGCATACAATCAGTAAGAGAATGCTTCCCTAATCATAAAAGGCCTCTTATGTTTGTGTCTTCTGCTATAAATCTGTCATTGAATAAAAAATTCAAGTGTCTTTATGACTAACTGAACTCTTGGATGTTCGATTTCCACTTCCCTACCATTGTAAAAAAAAAATTACTGCTTCAAATGCCTATAGGCTCACAAGGTTTCTTTTCATATTTAGAGTTTCAGTCAACATAACTGTTCCTCCACGATATGGTTCACATATGACTCACAGAAATATCAAAACTTCAAGTTATGGAGTTTAGAGAAACAACTATCGAATGTTTAAGCTATGATCTTACAGGGGTTCAAGTGTACTGTTTTTTTAAACAAAAACAATGTACTGATGGCAGTATAAAGTATAAACTATCAGAAAAGTACAAAGGGCTAGTAAGACAAAAATTCCTACAAGCTTCCATTCTAAAGTTTTAATTTCTTAATACAAGCATTGATGGGGCTTAAATAATTTTCAGATGAAACGACGGAGAAGTGAAACGTAAAAACAAGATAATTAGCTAAGCAGCAAGAAAGGATGGCAAACAGGAATCTGCAAAATTATATTTCACAAACAATTCATATACAATGCTTATATCATTGGAACTTTTACTGTACAATAAACAGGCATTTTCTACAACTACCTTTGATTAAAAAGAAAAATAAGATAAAGCACTCACAGGGTTCTCAACTAAGGGTAGAAAGAAAAGGAAACTAGTATTAAAATGCTGACACAAGAAGAAGAAAGATGATACCTTATTTTGTGGTTAATTTTGAAGAGAATTGAGATTTTAATTAGAGGCCAAATTTCACTTAAAATCAAATGAGGACAAGGAAATATATTGAAAGCTATCAGAAAAAAGAAAACAAGGTGATCTTATTCCTTGTTACCAAATTTCTTTGCAATGATAGGACGAACATCATCAACATCAACCAGAGTCTCTAAGAAGGGAAGCAATGAAATCAGTGCGCAATCAGATGGATCATCAAACCAACTCTTGATAGGAATCCCATTATTCACTTGCAACCTGAAAACCTGAAATCAGCAAAGAAGAATTCTTAAGCAGTTAGAAGTATAAGCAGGGGAAAATTGTTCTTTCTCATTTTTCATTTATACTTCTAGATAAATCCACCCTTTCACTATTTAATTTGATAGTAGAGAATGCATTTGATGCTGCTACTAGACAAAAAAACCTCTTATCATGTCTTTGCAAGTAATCTTACTGTAAAGCTTGGTTAGTTGGATGATTCTTAGATGAACTTTGTGCTTGTCATACATAACCACAAGAATTATCTCCAGATCTGAGTATTTTTAAAGACCAAGACACTAAATCACTATAGCACCAGTTCACATCGACATTAGGTTTAAACTAGGGCGACAATTATATTCTTGACTTAATATGGAGGCAAGAATGATGAAGTCCATGACGGTAAACCTTAAGTGAGTGGGTAAATACCTGTGGAGAATTATCAATTATAGCAACCTTTGCAAGATCGACACCTAAAACTGTCAAGTCTTTAGTGTAACTTCCATCTGAAAAAATGCAAGATTCACGATAAACCCGCCGAGATATGAACTTTTGATCTGGATCCAATATGTCCAGTAATTGTTCTGCATAAATGCTTTGGCTGGCAGTAAAAATGATAACTTCAAACAACTCTGCAACTTTTTCCAAAAATGTCTGTAGGTGAGGCCTCTGCTTTACATATACGGTGTGCTCTTTCATGTTGAAAAAGACTGTAAAGGTGAAGTCGGCATCATCACAATGTTCTAGTGTAGAGTGGACGAGAGTTTCTGCATGTTTCAAAGAAATGGTGATTATACACTATAGCTATATTTATTAGTAATTTGTTTAAAACACCAAGTGAAACATAAAAGAAACAGAAGCTCAAATAATTCTACACAATTTGTAGAAGGCCAACAGAGCAACCACAACACATGCCATCTGAAATTATTCGATACGTGAAGTCATACTGTCCAATAACATTTTAGCAAACAAAACCGGTCAGACATTTGAAAGTTTCCTTGCAAACCTTCAAAATTGACCTCACTAACAGAATAAATTTAGCATGTATGGTAATTTCGACACATGCACAAAATTTTCCAGAGACTAGTGATTTACCCTGAATTTTTTATGGAACTTCAGATAATAAGTTGCCAAAAGGTTCCACCAGGTTTTCTATAATCAGTACTAGCCAAAATCTTGTATTGTCCTCATAGTACGTTAGACTCCAAGTTATAGGTTTCATTTAAAGACTTGAATCAGTTTGTTTGACCCTCCATTTAAAAGAACACGAGAATTAATTAGTTCATTTGAAAAAATGTTCAGGCATCAGTGAAGGTGAATGAATGACGTATTGTTCCTGCAGAACTAAAAAACACACAGTAGAAAACATGCAAGTCTTACCATCCAAATCAAGCACAAGAGTTATGGGCTTCCTAGTCCAAGCCTCTGTTGGAACATCAGCAGGCCGGAAGCTTGATACAACATCAGATAGCTCTGGTAAATTTTTTATAAATGATTGTGGATCGAAGTCATCTGCTTGATCAGAGTCAGAGTTAACATCAGATTCTTGTATGCAGGATCTCATTTCATCAATTGGTAGACGTAAACTAGTATTATCTTGAGCCATCATAGACTCCTCATGCAATTGAACATCATTTATATCGTTGGTGTTGACAGTGTCCTCAAGGAAAGGCAGTATAAAGTATTGCTCAGCCACATCAAACAGCATACTTGGCTCAGAACACTTGAAATCAGGAAAAGAATAGGTTCCCGAGATGTTATTGTCAATCACATTTCCATCAAAGGGTATGCTTGCAATTATCATGTCAGATATAAAGAAATCTGACACATTGCATGTCTGACTGCCAAATGAGCTTCTATAATCATCACTGTCATCGGGTCCAAATGCTGGCAGTTCAGGGCCATTGTGACTCCCTACAGAAAATGAGAATGAGATGACTGTATCAAATAATTATCTTAACAGAAACTTGCAACTTCTGGTGACGTGAATCTAGAATGTCTGAATTCCATAAAAATTCTTCCTTCTACTCAGCATTGGATGCAGATAAAATAAATGTTTATCAAATGAAATATCAATTACACAACCCAGTGATACTAAAAGTTCATACAAGTACCAGTTGCCCCAAAAGCATGCAACAAGATTACAAAGAATTTCTTTCAACTGAGTTCTTTGTTTCCAACCCTGCTAAGTGGTAACCATATTTTAATGGGCCCAGTAAATTTCCAAGAGAACATGAATACTTATAACTTAATAATTGTGCTTAGACAGGGATTTCAGTTAGAAATGCCAAAAAAAACTGTCATTTTCTTGGCCGCAACTGGAGAATGGAAAAGAAATTCATGCAAACCAGCTGAAACAAAGAATCACCTGCATCATTGTCAATATTTAGTTCACTGTGTATTTGGATTGGCTCCAGAAAAGGAGAGAATATTGTCTCTAAGTTTGAGACAGTTGTGTGGGCAGACTCCTGCAAATTAATAAATCGTCATTAATAAGCAACCAAGTTGGAAGTCAGTTTAATGCGTGATATTTTCAAAAAGCAGAGTAAAAACGAACAAACAAAGCATTGTCCTAAAAAGTAATGAAAACTTACCATTACCCCCAAATTTGCAGAATCAACAAAAGTTGGAAGCGGTTTCTGAAGCTCGGAATCATCTCCATTCAAAATTATTTGCTGAGCACTGGCTCCATCAGTTTCGAAAACTTGAGAGGCTACTTCTACATTTGATGAATCTATCAAGAACAGTCGGTAAGCACGTGCAACAAACTAAAATATCACATTAATATATCTTCCTTCTTAACTCTTTTAAGAAAGGAATAAGTTAAAGTGTACAAACAGAAAGCCTGTCATGCATGCACATAAGTAAAGAAATGAACAAGAGAATACCAATACACTCTAATGCTTACAAACAGAAAGCCTACCAAGCATGCATATAACTAAACAAATGAATGAGCGAATAGCAGTACATTCTTTTACTTGGAAGATCCACAGAGAGGATGGACTGATGGGTTCAAGGGAAGGGAATTCATAAATTAGTAGCTATTTAGTAAATAAATTAATATGTACTTGGTCATTTGTTTTCCCTGCTACAGTCAACTATAGTTTGATGCTTGCATTACTGCTTCTTTGACATCTAAATATGGTATAATGCCCCACGGTTCCAATTCATTTATTGCAATTTTTAGAACTACAGTTATACTCAACACATGTAGTTAAGTAAAATATTTTGCAAAAAGCATCATTTCTCAAATGGAAGGGGACTTGCAATAAGTCACAGGCAAGGCAAAGCAAAGAAAGAATCTTGTTCACACTTGAGAGACAAAAGAAATGTTTTGAAATCGCTAATTTTATTGCAATCAATGTACAGAGAGCACATAATGTAATGGTACAAGCAAACAGAAAAGGATTTTTTTAACCCTGATAATAGGACACTCCAAGAAGCACCTGTAACTCTAACAATTAATATTAGAGAAATATCGACCTTGTTCAACGTATAGTTGCTTACCATCATGGCAATTTTGAATACATGTATTGAATCCGGCTCCTTGATGGGAAACCCTAACATGACAGCATGGTCTTTTGCAAATCATGCTAGACTTCTGACACACGCGAAGACTATTTTTTTCTCTTAAAGAACCCATGCTGGATTTGGTCTTCATTCTTAGAGTTGGCATTTGATCTTGAACAGCTATATATACCAAAATCTATATTCTGGAACATCAGTGGGGGGAAACCGCTCCAAATAATCAAATCACCAGCAGGAGCTGCGTTGCATCAATAGTCAATATAAGAAGCTAATATATTATAACAGGTTGGCAAAGAAAACTAGTTATACATGAAAGAAAGAATTTTCAAGCAACATAATTTCTGAGCAAAAACAAAACCAAAGAAAAAGGGAGTGAATCAAAAGTCAAAGTCCATAACCCTTTTACCAGAACAACTAAAGAATGCTAAAAATTCAACTCAGAATAACATTGAACACCACAATTCTAAAACCTAGATCTTGATTTCTGTTGGATGAATAGAGGGCTTGCTATAGTCTGCCTAGAGAGACAACTTTTGATACAAAAGAAAACTTGGAAGAGAAAAGAGAAAGGTAACAAAAACAGTACAAAAATAGACCATATCAAAGAAAAACAATTTCTTCAAGTAACCCACCAAAATTCAAGTCAACCCAAGTCTTTTAATCCCATAAAACACAATAAAACCTCAATTCCAAAGCAAAACAACAAAGGAAACAGTAAAAAAAAACAAAATCCATCAGCATATTAAGCCCTAAACCAGGAAAGAAAAGCAAAAAATCAAATTTGCCAACATATTAAAGTGAAACATTCCAGAGCATGGAAATTGAAGTACCTGTTTTGGGTGGGGGGGGGGGAAGAGTTTTTTTGCTTCTTTTTTCTTCCCTCTTTTAGCCAAAGAAAGACTGTGTGTGTTTTATTTTGCTCTGTAACTTCTACAAACGGTCAAAACAAAGATCGGAGGGGCAAATGTCGGCTTCGGTTGGATGATACCGACGGCTGAGATCAAATGTTTCATGAGGAGCTTGCACCAGTAGAATTCTACCACGTATTACGTGGGACCAGCTCAGACTGACGGGTTACCACGTGCAGGTTCGTGGAAAGAAAGGGAACGTTTGGGAGGAAATTGTGGGGATATCTCTTTCCTAGTCGCGGTTTCTAACGCGTGAGTGCACTCACCTTTTACAGCTGTTACCAGTTGTAGTTTCTGTTAACAACCTTTTATATTTTAATATTTTACCCAAATATTTTTAAATCAAAATATTATACTAACAATTATATAAATATAAGATAAATTGAAATATAATAAAAAGTAACTCTAAAGTTCACGCATCAAACAAAATTAAATTCGAGAATGTATCTGAATTTATATTAAAACAATTTTATACTGAAAAATGGACTTGAGCAATAAGCACCATCTAACTATATAAAAACAATTCAATATACATGGTAATTTTCTTTAAATAATAAGGTGAGAAAAAAATTGTTAATATAAGGTATAGTAGAAATTATTTTTTTATTAGTGTCTTCGTTATAGTATTCGGTGGAAGTTGATAAGATTATACGATGATTTTTTGAAGTTATCAAGATTATACGACGATTTTCTCGTACAAGTGACGTAGAAGAACATGATTTTGGGCAGAAGTCACTGTGTAATCCTAGAGACTTCCATCGATTGTTGTAGGAAATACCTTGGCATAGAAAATAATTTATATTACATTTTTTTTTAATAATGTGAAGTAATTATAATGTAGTATATGTTAAGTATAACCATAAGCATATTTTCTTCTAGGTCACGGTGTTTGACAGAAGGAGAAGGTGTAACGATGGAGGTTTCTGCTCTGTGTTGAGGTGGAAGTTTCTCCGTTTACTACATTATGCGGGACATGTTTCTTAGGACAAAAGCCTTTTTGCTGGAGCTCTTTTAACATTTTAGTGGAATCATCAATGGAGAGCTTTTTTTCCACGCTTTATGTGAGGCCAGGATTATAGCTCCTTTCCTAGCGTTTTTCTATGGGAGTATACCCTGTTGCTCAATGCTTTATGTGGAGGTATGCTTTTAGGCTCCTTTTTTAAACATTTTGTACGGTGGTTCAAGTCGTGGGGCAAAGGCTTCTTCGCTCGAAATTCCCAAGGCTTTATCAGGAGATTTTGGCCTAGAAGCCTTCTTTGTGCTGAGGATAAGGCTTCTTCATGTAAGATTTTTAGACTTGAGGGTATATCTAGGCAGAATCCCCTTTAATCAAGATTTCTAAATGCTCAGTGTGAAACCTTGTGCGCAAGTGAGTATTCAATCGGTTAATTCAATCGCTGACCGAATTGAATTATTATTAATCGAATAAATCGAACTTGTTTCTTTAACCGTTAAACGAACTGAAATTTTTTAAAAAATATTAACCAAATTATATAGATATTAGTTAGATTAATTTGAGTTTATTAGAGCTATTTTTTATTTGGGTTAAATTTTATTTAAGTCTTGATGATTTAGTGAGCCTAGTGTGGTTAAAAAATGATTGTGTATTAATTCTTAATGGGTTTGAGTTTAAAATATGTATTTAATATATTTAATATTTTGGGTTATTTAACCGATTTCGAATCAAATTAATCGTTAATCGAATATTGAGAAAAAAGATTAATTGTTCCCTATACCAAACTAATTCGATGATCGACAGTTTTAATCGATCTTATTTAATTCGGTCGATTAATTCAATCAAAACCGAGAAGTGAACATCGTTAAGAGTGAGAATAGCTTATTTGTATGGTGAGACAATTGAGACTTCCTTACCTTTCTAGCCAAGTCCTGGTGGTAAAGATAGAGTTGTAGTTAAGAAACGAGGTGGGATAGTCTTCGGCCCGAGAAGAGACAGTGTGACATTTTTGGAGAATTCCAACGGGAGGGTGGACATGCTTTTCCCGTCGTAGAACAATGGGAGAAGGCCAACCTTTTCATTGTTAGAACAAAGTCCTCTCAACGCCGAAGTAGTGGCATCTTCATTCTCTTTGGAGGCAGTTTCACACTGTCCCAATCAGAGTAAGGGGCATGCATATTTCAACTGAGTTTTTGGGGTTGACTTATCAGTCCGAGGTAGGGGCATCTCAACATTCCATTGGAGTGAATGCTCTTCACTCCTTTGGTCAGTTTTGGGACATGATTACTCAGTGTGAGGTATCCCGACACTGCTAGATCGAGTGAAGGAGCTTCTCGATTAGTAGTAACTCGTTGCAGTGGAATAGAAGCATCTCTATGCGTTTCATACATTGTAGGTAAAATCAATGCATATCTTCCAAGTTTGAACCATATGATCCTAAACCATGGTAGAATACCTATATATCATTAATTATTCTTTTTTATAACAAAATTTCTGTTTTTTAATTTAGTCCCTTAATTTTGCATGATTTTCTCATTTCTTCAATTCATCATTCATTTTAAATCAATTTTGACCAAATTTGAATCGCATGCTCCTATAATATATATATATATAACTTCAATTGCTATTTTTAATTATTATTTTTTCAATTTAGTCCCTTAGTTTTGCATTTTATTCGATTCACCTTTTGACTACATTTTTTTTGTAAATTTTTTATTCTCATCAATTTCTTGACTCCTTTATACTCTCATCAATATTTTTCTTCAAAATACCTACCTTTTTAAAAAAATAATATTATAAATATATTTTATAATTTTATATTGTATTTGATTTATTTAAAATATTACAATGTGAAAAAGAATAGGAAGAAATATATATGTATATCTCATATGGTTAGAGAGAGTTGATAAATTGGAACCAATTCGTACCGTAATATTTTACATAATTACAATGAAATTTATATAGAAACTCGAACTTTATAATCTCGACTCGATTAAAGAAATGAATAAAGTTTGGGTCATAAAATACTACTCATCAATTTGAATAACTCAAATTTTTTTACTCGACCGAATGTTCAACCCTAACGCAAAATAAGCTTGATTGTTCTACAAGTACAAGCAACTAACAACTGGAAATTCACCTACATTTTAAACAAAAGTTATATTATAGTTCGTTATTCGCAGTAAAGAACCACACTACTACCTATAAATTGACTAATAAAATTACGAAATCAATTAATCACTAACAAGTATGATGTCGTACATAATACATGAAAAACATGGGCTCTATTGCCTCATTAGTAGACATAAAATTATGAGAAAATAACCTTAGTGATCAAAAATCCCATATAATATACGATTTTGACCATTTTTTTTTGGATTTGTCAAAATGACCAACAAAATCGCAATGCGATTTCTAATTCGCAACGCGATCTCCAGTATCGTAAATTCGCGCTGCATTTCGCGTTGCGATAGTTGAAAATCGCGTTGCGTAATTTTTCATTTCGCGTGATAGTCTACAGTGTCGTTGGAATTTTCCATTTCGCGTTGCGATAGTTTTAAAAATGGTATTGCATTTGTTTCTCTAAAAAGATAGTATCCGCGCGGACGTTACGAAGACACGTATTACCACTACCACGACCACGACCACGACCCGAGACGAGACGGCGACACGCGAGAGTCCCCCTTGTTCTCTTTCACTCAACAAGGAAGTGCAAAATCCAAACCTTAAATACCATTCTCAATAGTATTTCCAAAACTATGTGGGATTGAGCATTACCAACACTTAGATAATAGAGTATATTTATACAATGTTCAGCTCATTAATATGGTGAATCCTATAGTAGTTTCAGCTTTTTATACATTCAAAGATAAGCCAAATTCTATATATTTAGTCTTTGCATTTTATTCGACTTAAATAATTACGTGTTGATATATAAAAAGATAGCGAGATCAAGATAATTTGTTTAATGAATTATGTTGTACAATGATTAGACTTAAGAGTGGAGAGAGGATAGTGAGGTGCTTGAAGGAGAGGTAGTGATTAGTAATTGAGTGAGACTAATGATCTTGAATGTTATGCTTGATGATCTTTCAAAATATTTAAAGAGACTCTATTATCTATGAATTGATAAAATAATTTATGAGTTGAACATTGTATAAATATATCTTCCTCATAGATTTTCTTATGTGATATAGTTTGATATGATACTGTAAGATCCGTGATATTACTATTGGAAATGCTCAATCCCACATAGTTTTGGAAACAATATTGGGAATGGTATTTAAGGTTTGGATTTTGCACTTCCTTGTTGAGTGAAAGAGAACAAGGGGGACTCTCGCGCGCCGCCGCCACCGCCACCGTCTCGTCTCGGGTCGTGGTCGTGGTCGTGGTAATACGTGTCTTGGTCGTGGTAATACGTGTCTTCGACACGTCCGCGCGGATACTATCTTTTTAGAGAAATTTCTTAAGAAACAAATGCAATACCATGGAAAATTCCAACGACACTGTAGACTATCGCAACGCGAAATGGAAAATCGCAACGACACTGTAGACTATCGCAACGCGAAATGCAGCGCGGATTTGCGATACTGGAGATCGCGTTGCGAATTAGAAATCGCATTGCGATTTTGTTGGTCATTTTGGCAAATCCAAAAAAAATTGGTCAAAATCGTTTATTATATGGGATTTTTGGTCACTGAGGTTATTTTCTCTAAAATTATTGCATAAGTAACACTCATTCAGTTAAAGGTAAGCCCAACGCCGAAGGGGCAGCGATTGAAGAAAGAAACGAAAGGCCTACAACCCAAAAATCCACCAATTCAGATATATTATATAATTATTTATAGGCTCGTTTATTTATGTTCATGAATATACTTGTTTATTTTGTTCCTTTTTTTATATTTTAAATATTGGTGAAGGTAGGGACTAAATTGAATACATGATAAAAGTTGAA